CAATGCACGCTCCCCCTGGATCACACACGGAAGAGACACTGAAAGTGTCCGGAGAGCCTCACACAGAGCCCACTGTGGACAGGAGAGGCAGCTCGGGAACTGCGCTGTGGGCTCAAGGAGGTGACTCCACTGTACTGAGCCCTCGGGCACATGCAGGGCCTTCAGCCAAGTGTCGCTGATGCCTGGAACAGACAGGAAAGGGAGGACAGAGGGAGAAGGGTGATAAAAAGGTCACAGAGAAAGAGAAGAAACAATCTTTAATGATCTAAAAGCATTTAAAAAAATAAGAACTGAACTGTTAAGAACAGTGAAAGACGGGTGAGGGCAAAAGACCTGTGAGGGAGGCCATGGTTTTCCTGGTGGCTGACGAGTGGTGTTTGAAATTAACCACACATGGATATTAAATGTTAACCACCAGAGAATATTAAATCACTTCTTAGGGAGACTGAAATGACCTCCTAAAGCATGAAAGATTCTCACGAGCCTTCAGAAGATGGGGCTGTGCTCACCTCTCTGTGTTTCCTGGGTGTCTCGAAAACTGCTGTGGGGCTGATTTGCTGCGCTGAGCTTCGCCCAGTCGTGTTAAGTAAAGGGGAGAATTTTCTATCACATTTTTCAACAGGATCCACTGCTTCTATGGGGAAGTCCTGAGAAATCTCAGGGCTTCTTAGAAACAGAACTTCAGAACTAAAAACTCTTCAGTAGGAGGCAAGTACGGCTACAGAGACCCTGACTGTGAGAGCTGACTCAGCCACCCATTAGCTTAGTTCCAGGACTTTGGCAAATCATTTAGCCAGTCACTTTCTTCAAAAATCACTAAGTAAACAAACCAGGCACAGTGCTAAAAATAGCAACATAAGAACGACTGAGGAAATGCCCTGCCCTCTGGGCTGGGCTGTCTCCTTTGCGCTTGGACAAATGGATAAGCACCAACTGGGAGATGGGGTGTTATAGCCCAATTTTCATGATAGGTTTTCTATTTAAAATTTAAGACCTGCAAAGCCCTAAGCCAGGATTTACTTGTCCCCTAAAATATATATATGGTATTCTGACACTGAAGTACCAGTAGGGTTGCTTGATCCTCCAGAGTGAAAAGTGAAAAGCTCTGTTAAGTTCCTTCAAGGGACTGCAGACGTCCTTGTTTTCTCCTCCCAAGAGAGATCTGAGGTCAGGGTGATTGATGGCTGCCACAGCATCACCTGGATTAAATCTCTATTGGCCAGGAAATGCATCAGCACTTACATCATTTTTAAGACAGTGCATGAAGAAACCAATTCAGGATAAAAAAAAATTTCTATATGCAGGAAGTCACTAAAGCACAGTCCATTCTCTCTGTGGCTCTCAACTTCCCTGGGAACCTCCCAGAAATGACTTAAAAGCCTGAGAGAGCACTTACCACGTAGACACCAGGGTAAAGAGTAAGTTCACACAGGAAGTTCACAACTGAGGACCAAGAACTCAAGCCTGGGTTAGTTTTGATCCCACTTGTAATAAAACGCTTTAAATTCCTGTGTGTGTGCACTCCTAAAATAGGAAAGTCAGGAAAAGAGTGGAAGCCAAAGAAACATATAAAGCAAGGTTTAAAGGTGAGGCTCAAAAACTGAGAAGAGCAAAGTTCCTTTGAAATATAGAAAATAAAAATGTGAAAAGGACATCTGAAATTATCAAAAGCAACCTCCACTTAACGGCAGAGGAAACAGGCCCAGAATGGCAAATGGCCTCACAGCTACTCTTCGGCCAAGTAAGATCTGTGTGCCCCCAGCCCTCACAGCTGCCCGCCTGGGTGAGTCTCCTCACATCTCCCCTCCCTTGATGAGCTAGTCTATACATGCCAAATAAATTGTTGGCTTATCCCTTCAAATATTCCTCTCCACTTCCTAGAATCAGGGCTTGCATGAAATTTAAGAGGTCCTTCAGTTTGTTCCCCTTACATTAAGCAGAACTAAGTTTTAGAAATATAATACTTTCTGTTTGTTTTAAGGTCTATAAAGAAAATGAGTTCTAAATGACTTTTATATGCCAACATTTACTAATTCAAAACAATGTTGGAATATCTATCATGAATAACTCACTATGTCACGTCAAATGGGAGACACATTAATTAAGTTGGCATGGATCCTGCTCTCAAGATGCCCAGTGATGAGTAAAAAGATGAGCATGTACTAAAATAATTATAATTCCAGACAGTCAAGGGCCAGGAATTGCTATAGGAGTAGAGAGATGATGTTGTTATTCTGAGCTGGCGGTGAGACTAGTGACTAAAGGCAACTCTGAGATTGGACTAAGGTACCTGGAGAGGTAAGGGTGTCCCCAATTACAGACCACACAATGAAAAACAAGGCAACAGCAATATGGAGTATACATGGGAAAAGGCAAGCAGTACAGTTTTGCTGAAGAAAACATACAAGTTGGAAACTTTGTGTAATATAAAACTAGAAAGGCAGATTTAATCCAGAGTATGCAGGATCTCTGGGGCTAAGAAAAGGTGTTTTCACCCCCTTCATCCTGTAGTCCCTATGAAATCATTCATTTATCCATTATGCAAAAATTTTAATCAATACATAAGTAATGGGCACCAAGTAAAGGCACCAGGGATGCAAACTTCAGAAAAATATGGTTTTTAACTTCATGGAGCTTAGTCTCCAATGTGAACAACAGGTAAGTAGTCAGTGACTACTGTACGCCAACGTGAGCAATGTCATGAGGGTGTGCACAGGGTCACACGGCACACCCTCATACGAAGGACACACTCATACGAAGGTTAACAAAGTCAGACTGTAAGAGACAGATAACAGGCATCCCAAAGGAAGAAACTGCAGGTAAGCAGTAGTTACCTAATGAGAAGAGGGGATGTTGGTTTTACCTAAATGGTAGAGAAAAGCATGTTAAAAACACTTGGAGATGAAAGAAAGTATAAAGTGTTAAGAATAAAAGCTACATTTTATCCCAAAGCAGTAAGAACCTATAAAATATTATGATGACCAAAATTATGCTTCATGAAAATAAATCTGGCAGCAGCACATAGAAAAAGTTGCAAATAAGAAGCAACCACAAAATGTTTTACTCCAGACTCTGGAAAAATGGTAAAGAGGACCCAAACTGTCACAGTTCAAGTGGGACTATCATGGAGATAGAATTTATTCAACAGAGCAAACCAAAAAATTCAGGAACAAAGGAAATGTCAGGCACCTCACATCTGAGAACAGGTCACACAGAACTGGAAACCAGGAGGGAAAAGCAGATACGGCAGGAAACCTAGCAGTGGGAAAACCCTAAGAAGGAAACAGAGCAGAACCTCTAGAGAGAAGGAAGGGGAACCAGGACTGAAAAGGCACATCATGAAAACAGGAAGAAGAGAGGCTCACGCACCACACTGTGGAGAGTAAAATGGCAATCAGAAAGCCCTGTGGGGCCCTGGCCCAGTTGCTCAGTTGGTTAGAGCATTGTCCCCATACACCACAGTTGTAGATTTAATCCTCAGTCAGGGCACATAGAAGAATCAACCAATGAATGCATAAGTAAGTGGAACAACAAATTGATGTCTCTCTCTCTCCATATCTATCTCTTTTTCTCTATTTCTCCCTCCTCCTCCTTCTCTTAATTTCTTTCTCTCTAAAAATCAATACATTAAAAAAAAAATAGCCTTGTGGTGACAAAGATCAATGGTGTCCCTCAATAAAGGAGATTCAGGAGAGAATGAGGCAGAAGTCAAATTACAAGGTATTATGAATTACTGGCTTGTGAAAGCAGATTATTCTTTGGAACTACCAAGAAATTTAACAGGGAAAGAAAGGAGAGAGACTATTAATTTGAGAAGCAAAGTGGGAAATTTTTTTTGGTAAAAAAGACTTGAAAGGGGTTATAGGTCAACAAAAGAAAAGAATTCAGAAGGGAGAAGGGATTTAATAATCTTTCTTGGCAGGAGGTTCACATTTCTAACTTAAATCTACAGTACAAGTCATTCCCTACTGCGCTGTTTTAAATATCGAGAACTTCAACTTGCCACCCTCTAAACGGTGAAGACCTTCCTGTATTTGGGCCTTATTACTCAACCACTCCTTATTCTTCTGGTTGAAAATACGAATTCGTTAGTTTTTTCATGTGAGTTTCATTTTTCCAAACTTTTAATCATCTCCATGACTTTTTCTTTGTGCCCTTTTCTATATCTTATAGAGTCACCCTTGGGAAAAATCCATGAGAAGGTCCCACAATTTAATAAAGGCTAAGCCTTTTAGTTTTTAAAAACGCAGTTATATGATGATCCCTCTAAGCCAGTGGTTGGCAAATTCATTGTGTTTGGTGGTTTTATTTTCAAAGCAGAGGAACCATTTCTTCTGAGTCATCTGCAGGATGAACGGGGCTGCTCGGATTGAGAGGGCAAGCACGATGGAGCCGCAGCAGGGGGCGGTCCTCCCCCCCATTCTGGAAAGGCAGCTGATATCGCCCCGGGGAGCTGCCCCTTCTCCCTCCCAGGGTCCGAACATGGCTGTTTATAACTCGTGCTGATTCATGTTTTCAGGTGTTATAGTCACTGCTTAAGCTGCAGTATAATAGTGCTGAATACTGGCTGTGTTTCGTTCATTAGTTTCTAACATTTCTCACAAAACACTTCTGCAAGTGATCTCTCTTCGATCATATAAAAAACATTGCCTTTATCACCACATAATCTGTGGATCTTTCCTGAAACCTTTTCCTACACTGAATCACATAATGTGATCACAGATTCTGATCACATAATCTGAGACATTAGCTACCTCTTTTCTAAATAGCTACAAACACAGCCAATACATTGACATTGTTTTGAAGCCACAGAAATAGAACTGAACCACTTGGTGTTGCAAATAAAATATTTCTTCTTTTTCCCTCCCAAGAAAAGTCAAAATTAGTGGAAGTTTGTCCTCTAGTAAATATCCTAGAAGCACTGAACTATGAAATGTATAATCTATAAAAAGTGATGGAAAAGAATCATAAAAAGTATATTTGTTCACCTTGATACTAACCTAATAAATTTAACAGCCAGGCCCAGGTCAGCTATACAGCAAGTTCCATTTTTCTTCACCAGGATGTTTTTACTTTTCAGATCTCGATGGGCAATTGCTGGTTTGCCTTGAGTACTAAAGATTTCGGTGTGTAAATGACATAAGCCACTGACAGAAGAATAGGCTAACTTCAGCATCGATTTAATATCTAGAGTGGTGGACTTCAAGTAATCATAGAGGGAGCCATTTTCATGATAGTCTGTGATCAGGTACAGCTGGGTCCAGGATCCTGTCCCTTTGATATCTGCAGCAATAAATCCTAAAAAAAAGAAAGAAAAAAAAAAGAAAACAAAACAAAAAGGTTTGTAGCTAAGTGTGTTATGAATGGATCTTATCAGGAATAAGTCATATGTTCAGCTGTCATTCTTTGTCACAGGTGTCTTTATTTCGGCATTTAATTCAGTTTTCTGATCATGCCTATGAGAGTATGAAATTACTAATACCAATGGAAACAATAGGGGTAGAGAAACATTAAGAATTTTTCACTGGTCCTAGTGGGTATGGGTCAGCTGGCTGGGCATTGTCCCTGAAATTGAAAGGTCACTGGTTGAATTCCCTGTCACAGCTTATGCCTGAGTTGTGGGTTCAGCACAGACTGGGGCGCCTAAGAGAGGTAACTGATCGATGATTCTCCCCCTCTCTTTCTCTCTCCCTCCCCCCTCTCTAAAAATAAATAAAATCTTTTTAAGAATTAAAAAAAGAGCTTTGATCTGAAGACGTGACTCCTTTCTAATCAGTTGTTGATATTTAAATAATTTTAAGTTAATAGGACATAGTGCGTGGTATTATAGTTACACATAAAATACTATTTACAAAATAGGGACTTAAGTCAGACACTTAAGATTAGCTTAAACTCTTTGCAGTTGAGTCACCCACCTAGACCATTTCTAAATGGGGAAAATAAAAAGGAAATCAATTATCCATATAAACTCTGGATATAAATAATCCTGCAGATAAAATTTTTACAACTTTTCACAAAACTAAAACAAAAATGAGCTCCTTTAAATCCCTACGAAACCTTAAGAAATGCTGGTATTATTGTATTTGCATTTCCTGTCCTTCAAGAAAAAAACACCGGGTGAGCACTCCGTTTCCACCCCACCGTTCATTCAAGGAAGTGCCTTAGTCATTCCTCTTGTGCCATCTCCCATTAGAAGCTGTGACATTCTTGGGCTCATACCAAGAAGAACATGTCTATATATTTAATAACAGATCTAGATGGATGAGTTAATATACGTATGCTAACAGAAAAATAGAGAAAAGCTAGAAAACCCTGAACACTGCTGTATAGACTCACCCAAAATGTTTTCATGCCTCATCAAGACAGTCTGGTATATTTCTGTCTCTCGGAACCAGCTGGCTTCCTCGGTGGTGAAGAACACTTTCACAGCTACCTTTTCGCCACGCCACTTCCCCATCCAAACTTCCCCATAGCGACCTTTTCCAATCTGTTTCACCATCTGAATCTGCTTAGCTATAGTCCTTTGGACCTGTTAAATCCCCAAACACACTGTTAGTACATTCACAGCACTACAGATTTGTTTAATCATTTTTTTCTCCAGAGAAGAAACAATTATTGCATCTAAAGTAGATTAAGCCAGTTTTCCTTTTATACAGACATGTTATTTATAATTATTTATTAATTTATGCTCTCCTCTCTTCAAATTTGAGATTTGAAATTGGTTGTGAATTCTGAATGTGTGTAATATTACTTCAGAATTATTGACTACTTCATTCTATCTATAACTTTCACAGTGAGAAAAACCTCAATGGGTTCACAGTGGTTAGAATAGAATACTTTTCATTTCCACCATTGTAGTGGGACACCAGACACTCTGAAGGGACTCATGCTACTATACACTTGGATAAAATACAACAAAACAAAATGTACATGTGGGGCAAAAGTAGTTTTACATTTGTGAATATGTGGAACACAGAATTTATTCATGTACTTTTATTTATTAATCATTGTATTATTTTCCATACAATTTTTTGCCCCACTCTCTACTGTTGGGCACACAAAGAAATAAAGAAAATCTCCAAGTAGGGAGGGAGGAAAGGAGGCAGAAAAAAAAAGACAGGAAGAAGGAAAGAAAAGAGGGAAGAAAGGGAAAAAGAGGGAGGAAAAAAGGGCGGAATGAGCTGAGATGAGTGCAGGGAAAAATAAGCATTAAGCATACCCAGAAGGGAGTCGGGAGGGGAAAAAGGGTGGGAAGGAGCGGAAGGGACTAGTCAAGGAACACGAATGAATGACCCATGGACTTGGACAACAGGGTGGATTGACTGGGAGTCAGGGGTAGGCTGGGCAGAGGAAAGCAAGGGGGGGGGGGAATTGGGACAACTATAATAGAACAAAAATATGATATTTAATAAAAAAAGACATATTCAAAATCCAGGTTGCCTGCTGCCTGGGCTAAGAATAATAGCAGCACTGGGATCCAGAGTCTAAACTTTGATTCCTTTAAAACTAGAAGAACTGAACCTGGGTTTCATCATTTTATGGGGCCACCGAATGGCACTAAATCTGTCCTACATTGGCAGCACACCCACAACTCCCAGCAAAATCAAATACATATCCTCTCTTGAGGAAATAATTTGCAGAATACCATTCATCCCACCACTATGGTGAGATATCAGGTGTTTTGAAGGAAATCTTGTCATCATATAAGTTGATCTGAGGTAAAATATAAGAAATAAAAAGTGAATGTATTGTTGTGCTCACAAGTGTGGACCAAAAAGGAGTAGGGCAAGTAACCTCACAGGGTGATCTGCTCGTGAATTCCTAACAGTGCAGGTCATGGCGAGCAGTCAAGCCCTAGACATGTAACTTCCTTAGTGAAAGGTTTATCGTTGCCTCAAGCAAGCCTGGTCTACTGTTTCTGTGCATGTAGGTTAACACACCTTGAAATGCCTCTTTCATACCTCTCAGAAGGGAAACTGCCCTCAGAGAGCACATAATCTTGTTAACTCTCCTGGTATCCAATCCCTGCCCTGTGTTCTCCTTCGCATTCAAGTAGTTTTCTGTACTTTTCCTCCCTAATGCATAAAAGAAGCTGCAAACTGCCATTCTGAGAAACATTTTTCTTAGTTTGTTAAGATCTTGCTTCTAGGTGTTTCCTTGGTTTGGCTCAAATAAATTTTTATAAACATTCTCTACAGGTTTGGATGTAGCTCTGACAGGAGGAAATCTCCAAGCTGGTGGGAAGGTGAGGGAGGGACAGAAAGAGAGGAAGGAAGGGAAGACCTCACAGAATAAATTCCTTAAAACAAAAGGAAACAGCCACTCTACCTGAGGTCAAGAGAAATAATCCAAACAGATTTAACCCCTTCAGATCACAGATGCTGGAATTTTCAGATATAGAAAGCTAAGGAACACTACATGAAATATGTAAAGAAATAGAAGATGAGGTGAAAAATAAATAAGCAGAAAGAAATTAATGAAAAGTATACTTTGAAATGAAGTAATTATTACTTCAAAATGTAAAGTGGACAAGTATAAAGCAACAGATTAGAGCTGGAGAGAAAGTTAAACTAATAAGAGAACTCTGAAGAATTAGAGAGAGTACGGCAGAGACAAAGAAAAAGAAAATAAGAGATTTAAGTGGCATAGAGGTGAAATGCCTTTATACATGACCTTATCCCTTCTGCACTTACAATAAAATATTTTAAGAACTCTATTACTGAAATGGCCAAGTATCAATGATAATTTACACAAGTTGGGAGACGTATACATAAAGAACTCAGCACAAAATTCTTACAAGATCTGATCAGAAAACAGAAATGTATTCTTTGCAGACATATGCTTTGTATCAAGTAAACTTAAAGTATTTCCTTTTGTTTTTGCAATTTTATGGACCATGCATGTACTTACACTGAGACCACCCAGATAATCCAGAATAATCTCATCTCAAGGTCAGTTGATCAGCAACCTAAAGTCCCCTTCATCATGTTAAACAACAGATTCTGGAGAGGAGAGCATGGACACTGGGTGGGGGGCATTATTGTGCTTACCACAGGTGTCCACCAGCGAGGATGGGTTCTGTTTTTGCACAACGGATGATTCAAGAGATAGTGCTATCCGTTGCCATAACCATTAACAGTAGTAATATCAGATGAAAAGGAGGGGGCAGATTTTTTAAAATTTTTTCGAAAATGGGACTGAAAAACAAAAGCATTGCTGCCATTAAATCAAGTCATTCAGCCTAAAGGAAATAAGGAACCGAGTGTGCATGTTCAGCAGCTGTTCTCCCTTTGGAGTCAGACGTGCTGCATGAGCAGAGTCCAGGATATTTCTGCTCCCAAATGTGGGAACAGGAGCATCCATAGCACTGAGCACTTGAGAGGCAAATCCACAAGTAGTTAAATTACTGACTGGGGAGGAAACTTCCCATACTTATTAGAGAAATATTATATTTAATATACAGATGTTACAAATCATTGCTTAAGTAAATCCAGAGAACATTTTCTAACTGAAATGGTTTTTTGTCCTTTTCTTTTCTAATGCTAGTATATCATATATTTCAACAAAAGCACTGGTGGAATTGGCACTGCTTGGAAGGATAGGAACAACTGGTCTCAAAAAGTGTCATTAAATTAAACTCAAAAATTAAAAGTATGCTTGAGAGTTATTATAACATCTAAGGACCTAAAAAATAGCTTGAAAAAAATTGAAACTGATTTATTTGAGTTTTTATTTGATTTAACAAATGTTTCTGGTTTTTCTCTACCTTAACTTTGATTCTATATTACATGTCAGATACCTGTTTCAAGGTTTGACTGCATTAAAAAAAATGCCTGTGAAACACAATCACTATAATTGTGACTCCAGAAAGAAAAGAAGTATTTCATGTAAAATGGGTACAACTGGGTGTATTATACAAGGAGTTACCACTCTTTCAGAAATGTCATCTTATCTAGTGACCCCTGACAGTGTTTAATGTTGAAGTCCCCGTCCACGGGGAGACACTGGCAGATGTGCAGCTAGCTCTAAGCCATGCTCTGTGCTCTCCAACATGCCCTGAATGTGCGCACATGCACACACGCACACACCCACACACACCCCTCCACACAAACACGCAGTTCAAAGTACTTTGCCTAATAAGGCTGGGAAGATTTTTCACAAAAGATTCCTCACTTATGAGGCTTAATGTTCAATTAGAGAATTTACTTCACCTTCTTTTCCTTTACAGGTTCAGATAAATAGGGAATGAGAAAAGTAATGTCACTATTTACGGAATACATACTATGTATCAAATAAATATATCTGTATATATATGGTGGGGAGACACATAAACTATCTTAATTCTTACCAGCAACCTCTGATATTCCTTCCTTAAAGGATTTATATATAAAGGTATATAAAATATATATAAGGTATTTAAAATATACATAAAGCATGAATTCTCCCCTTATGTTAATAAAATTCTTGTATATAACAAACTTGTATCGAGGTGACATACTCACTCACATAATAATGGACTACACAATTTGCATTACCCTAAAAGAAGATTTTAAATCTGTAATACTGAGATTTTTTTTCTAAACTGGTTTTGTAGATAGGATCCTCTTCCCAGCCTGCCCCTACCAACTGCAGTCCTTTGTGTGAATTAACTCACATTTGGTTCATGTCTCACAAACGTTAAGAGCACTGATTCTGGAGGCGGATCACCTGGGTCTGAATCCTGGCCTGTCCACATACCATCCAGTCGGCCTGTCTAGGCCTATGTGTCTGATGCGTAATGCAGAGATATATGTTTAGAGCTGCCTCGCTGGGTTGCTATGAGGATTAAATTAGATCATATTTATAAAGGCCAGTGTCTGGCAATCTGGCTGTTCTTACTCATTTTTTTTGATATACGCCAAATGCTATTTTTTGGTGTCTGGATTATAGAAAAAAAGAGTATTTTCACAGATAGTAAAAGTTGGGAGTTGAAAGCTTTTAAAACAAATTACTGAACAGCCCATTTAGTCAATTGGTGGGCTACAAAGTGAATGAAACATAGTCTCCACCCCTGAGGAGATGAGGGTCCATCGAAAGACACACACACACTAACATCAATTTTATAGTATTTTAATCCGCTGTATTGAAACTACAAGCAAAATGTTGTGACAGAAGACAGACAGACTGGCTGGGTCTGGGGTAAGTGGGCACAGAGATAAGTGTGAGGTCGGCCAGGAGCCAGACCTCTGAAGATCTCCCCATAAAGATACTGTTTCATTCAATGTCATTTCATTATAACCTTGGTGAGATGCTGCAAGAACTTAACTCTTGTTTTTGTCAATTGGCCTATGGTAAAATCGGTTTTGATATAAGTCATTTGACTTCAAGTTGAAGAACGTTAAGTAAGGATGTACTGCATTTGAGAAACCACTAAAGGAGGCTGATGCTAGTGCTCGGGGAGCAGGTGCAGGACGGGGGGTGGGGGGGTGCAGGAGGCATGCCACGCAGACCAAGCTAAAGTAGGAGACACATGAATGCTACTGGATATGACAATGTTTTACCCAGGGAGGTAACAGAGTAGGTGAAAGGTTTCAGGGCAATAACTCCACAGTAATGAGAAAGATGGGTAAGAAGGAGGAAAACAAATAGTTTTCAAGTCCAAGAGCATGAGTAACTGATTCATTATTATCAAAGGGGATTTCAATGTTTATACTTTTCTTGTAAAAATGAATAATAATATGTTTAAATATAAGAATTGTATTAGACATATATTAATTCTAAAAGTAAAAGATTAAGCAATTTGATACGAACTTTCATGTAAGAAACATTTACATCCTAGGAAGCACCAGTTTGGTCCTAGAGACTCCTTCACAAATGGTTTACCGGGCTGTGCCTCCAGGGGAGGCCTCAGTCAACAAGGACAGAGCTCAGCTGTGCAGGATTGTTACAAGGTGCAGCCAAGAGGGGGGACCCCAAATGGACATTTGAAATGGGGTCCAGAGCTTAAGATGTCCAGGAGATTTTAAGATGTCTCCATCCCCCCCACCCAGGGTGTGGGTTGGGGGAAGGGACAAATGGAGCAAGGCCATTGAGATCTGTTTTGCATAGCAACAGCCTTGCAGCTACCCTCTGGCATGGTCATTTAACATATCTATAGCCTTTGGCTGGTCGCTTAGATATGTTAAATAGCTGTGATCATCTCTGAAGGGGGGGGGATGGAAGTAACTTCCCCACCAAGATGTAACTGGGGGCAGATCCCTCAAACTACAGTGCCTGCGTGGGAGCTCGGAGAAGATTGGCTTCAGGACACGGGGCCACGCCTGCCCAGACTCATGATGGCAGCCCAGTAAAGCTGGAAGGATACGAATTCTGGCATGTGAAGCCGAGTGTGGGAGGAGTCGGAAGTGAGGCTGCAGAGGAAGATTGGCCGCGGGGATTTAAAACCCAGATGTGGCGGCCATTGAGAGAGAACCACGTGGCTTTAGCAGAATGGGGAGGACCTCGGCCATTGAGAGGAGGAGAACCATGCTGCTTTAGGAAGGAGAGTCATGCGCAGCCCTGAGAGGGAGAGAACCACGCGGCTTTGGCAGAGTGGGGACTCTCCCCTTCCCGCAGCCCTGAGGAGGAGAACCATGAGGCCTGGACAGAGCAGGGATCCCCACAGCTTTAGAAGGGGAACCACAACCTGGTTTTAGCAGAGATCCTGGCGACTCAGCTGAGGGTGCCGGGAACCCAGGGAGGTCTCCCAGTCGAGATGGAGGACTAACTGGGAAGAGCCAGAGGACTGCCTGAGCCATGGACTTCTATTTCCTTTCCTGAGATACGGTACTCTGGACTGGGCAAAGGGGGAAGGAAGGAAGGACTGTGTCTGTTTGTGGGTGTTTTAAGGGACTTTAGGATTTTTGATGAAGACATTAGGTCACTACTTGAAGTCTGTATAGCATTAAATAAACATTTCCTTTCCTTTTCACAAATCTCTGGCATTGAGAGACGTCTTTCCTAGGGCGGCGGACAAAACGGACCCGGGACCTTCTTTCAATAATAGCATATTGTCCCAGGCCCCCCCCCTTGTCTGTTCTGTAACAGGATGAGTGAGTCCTGGGGGTCTATGGTGCCTGCAGTTAACAGTAGTAGTGTATTGTCTTCTAAAATTTGCTAGGGATTAAATTTTATGTCAAGTGTTCTTGTCATAAAATAATAATAATAATAAGTAAAGAGGGGACAAGGAAACTTTTGGAGGTGATGGATATGTTTATGTCATGGATTGTGGTGGTGGTATCATGAATATATCACCAAACTCTTCAAGTTGTATACATTAAATATAAACAGCTTTTTGTATGTCCAAAAAAATGTTATAAGATTGAGTCATGGCTTGAATTTTTTTAGGATACTTTAGTACTAAATAAAAGGTCACCTAAAAAATGAAGTAAACAAGATATCCAAAGACAGAACCAGACATTAAAGATTATGAAAATCAACCTCAAGAGTTTATAAAGGAAAATATTTCTCATTAAAATTGCTATTTCCATCCCGAATCCCAATGATTTTTTTGCATGGTCCATAAAGGAACAAAATGTTTTTCTCATTAAAGCAAGTGCTTGGATTCAGTATATATTTTCTTCAAGGCTGGCAGTGCTGACCATCAGAAAATTAAACCTCTCCTGAATGGAAAAGCTAGGACTTCAGCCTGAAACATAAACCCTCCGGCTGAAATGCAGCCTTCTTCCCTTGTAAAAGTACTCAGATCCCAGTGGGCTCTAATACTTTTGCCTTCAAAAGCCAGGCCAAAGTGCAGTAACACTATCCTCACTGAAAACAGAGGGAAGATGGCCCCCCGTTTAATGTTTTCTAATCTGCTCTCTATCAGAATGTCTGAGGGTCTGGATTGTAACTGTACACCGACATTAAAAAACAATCACCTTACCCCCAATATGTCAAAATGTTATCAGGAAGCCGTGCATCTGAGATCTGATATCTAACTGATTGCATAGAACGTCATCTTTGTCCTGCCCTATCTGTTTCAGTAAAATGAAACCCTGTATTTATTGACATTTCCTCTCAGAAAATACTCCTTTAAATTCAATATATGTTCTTTTCATACCAGCAGAGGGAGGCCTGATCCACTTCCTGAGCTCTGAGACTGCTCAATTAGGTCTTTCAGGGATTCTCCGGGAGGAATGAAAGTCTCCTGTGCTAACCCGATGCTGTACCGAGGTCTGGCTTCTTGTCTTTTATACCTAAAGACACATGGAGAAAGATCATTTTAGACACTGAACAGCAATGACACCCGCATAACCCTGCAGGTAAAACATTAATAATGGCTGGTTTTAATTTAGCACATAAAAACAATGCAAGAATAGTGCTCAATATTTATTACCCTTAGTTACGGTTTTCAAACTACAAATTATAATTGCTTTCCTCCCTGGTTTTGTTAAAGTAAACTACATGTTTTTACTCAGTCTCAACCATCTCCAATTTTCTCTACTCTTTTCAACTAATTCTTTCCCAGCAGGTTATAGTCCGTTAATGTTTCTATACAGTTCCACTATATTCAGTCCCTAAAATCGTTCCCTTTAAGGTCTCCCTAACTAATATAGACACAAGTTTTCAGTGTGCAAAAGACATTACAGCTAACTCTTTCATGTAAGGTAATATATAGACCAATAATCTAGTTAAGTTAAATAAATTTAAACTTTTGTTTAAAAGTTTTAAACAAAAACTTTTTATCTATGATTAAGGAATAAATTTATTTGAATCAACTCCCATTTGCAAGATAGTTTTATAAATGAGTGTCATAAGAGGCAAGTGACATGAATTTAAAGGTTCTTGATATTTTACAAACTGTAAAATAAGTTTTTAGGTGGCTAAAAGTAATTTGTAACCACTATACTTAACTTTCATATACTAACTAAACTTAATTTAATAATCTATAAATTAATTTAAAAAATCTTTCAATACTAGGGGAAATTGTTAGCTCAGGAAATAAATTACTAGAACAATGCTAAGTTGTTCAACAAACATGCTCATTCTCTGTTTAGAATCAAATTCAGTAGCAACTAGTTCCTTAATTTCTTAACCGCCCTAATTTCCCTAAGGGTGAAAGCTATCTGGGTGGTTTGGATACCTGAAACACAGATAAGATAGGTATCTATTAATAGGTTCATTAGGACAAATATTTATCAATAGTAACTAATATTATCAGTGAAATCTAAGATCTAATTAGGTCAAAGGAAGTGGTGTGGGGGGAAATGTCAATGGGTAGGATAGTAGTATGAGAAAGACATTACAAACTCAAAATTCTACATCTGCATTTTGGGAACTTACCTGAAGTAACAGAATAAAATGATAAAAACCAAGAGCAAACTACAAACAGTCACAGATATAAGTAAGGCTTTGTGGTGTGCAGGTGAATCAACAAAATCTGAAATTAAAAAGAAAGCAAAGAGATTCATAAAACAGAACACTTTTACCTAAAAATTAGGAAGCAACTCTTCCCTAAAGTGTTTGCTAAGTTCCATATGTAAGATGTGAGAGGTACTTTTTATATGCTAATTGAATAAAACGTACACACACATATATATACATACACACACACACACTCCAAATTAAATAATGTCAACTATCATGAACCATCATTCATCTAGGCACTTGATTCAAGAGCATGCTGTAAGAAATGGGCTTGACAGAGAATAAAGCACAAAATATAAACAAATGTGTATATGGATCAATGCCCCTAAAATGTAATAATGTAAGCAGATAGTTCATCTTTATTTCAGATCCAGCTGATGGGTTTACAGGTTTTTCTCATGTGCCCCACACCAGGTCTTTGTATAGAAACACTAATCTATATTCATTGTACATAAAACACACTCATCTTCTGATGGATACAAAGGAATAGGATTCCTCAAATGTTGCCAAATATAGTCTATGTGGATGTGCATCCCTTTAAACAAAGATGTTCTTCAAAAATACATACCTGAATTTTTCAACATACTATATTTTAAAAGAATGGGTACATTCCACTCAGAGAATTATTGTGTGATTCTTTTACAGAATAAATTATTAAATATTGTTCGTGTTGTTTTAACTCAAGTTCTTCACAAATCAGATTAACCTACAGCATGATTTTTCAAGCATCATATAAATGACTTATAGAGCTTTATACTGAAGTACATTTACAGACTTCAACCCCAGAGATGTCTATTCGGAGGGTTTGTTGTTGTTTCTTACAATCATCCAAATGATTTATATGCAGGTAGTCTCCGGTAAACATTTTAAGAACACATCTAAACTCTGGTGCACATATATAGTAATAATATTAGCGTCATTCTTATTAAGGGCACCATATACCCTTGAGAGTACAATTACCATTACTGAATTTTAAATAGTGTTTTTGTAAGTTGTGACTTTGGTTACTACAGAGGTTTTCCACTGTGCTGTGTACCTTTAACTGGATAGCTACCCAAACACTCTGCCTGGGGACCTTATTCCACCCAATGTCACTTTTCCCCCCAATTAGAAGTATTATATGGTCCATGAAGTAAAATAAGAAATTACCAACTAAACTAAAATAAATAAAGTCATTGCCACCTTAGTACTTAGGAAAGTTACTACTAACATTTTACTGCATAGCTCTGCAGTGTCATTTCAATGAACAAAACACGTTCATGAGCAAATATTTCACAAGAAGGTATCATACACACCCAGGTGCACAGCAGCATTCTTCATGACAACTAAAACATGAAGGAGACCAGAGGACCCACTGACAGATGAATGGGTAAGAAAGATGTGCATACATATACAGGGGACATCATCCAGCCTTGAAAAGGAAGGAAACTGTGACATACACTACAACACGAACAACTCCTGAGGACATTAGGGTAAGTGAAACAAGCCGGTCACACAAAGGGAAACATGGCAGGATTCCACAATGAAGATACTCAGGGTGATCAAACCCAAAAAAGGAGAGGTACAACGGCGGGCAGGGAAAGGGTGGCCCTGGGAAAGTCAGCATTTAAAGGGTAAAGGGTTTCAGTTTTGCAAAATGGAAGAGCTGTGGAGATAGATGGTGGCGATGGCTGTACAGCATTATGAACATCTCCAGTGAACTCAGCTGCACTTAAAAATGGTTACGATGATAAATTTGTGTTATGTGTATTTTACAATAAAAAGTTGGAAAAATCATTATAATTGCTATATAATTAAATAGTTTTCTTTTTTAATACAGTGAACATTTTCCAAAACAAAATTTTTTTCTGCAACATTAGTTTTAAAGACTACAGATTATAAATACAGACACACCCTAATTAGAAAGTCAATCTTCTGACAATGTGGATTTAGGAGACTGTAGAGATTTGGCTATAATGCATCTTTGCTCTAATGTCTAAACTTCTGTGATGAACACTTTACATATCCACCATTATACCTTTCAATGATTATTTCCTTAATCTATTTCCTTAATCAGAAGTAGAATTACTAGTTTGAAAGATATATATTTTAAGGCTTTTCATACATATTGTCCCCATTTCCTTTAGAAAAGATTGCAACAGTTTCTGTTTCATCATCAATATGAACAAATGTTTTAATCATGTCAAAATAATTTCAGTCTTACAGGAAACCTATAAGGATAAAGAATTCCAGTATACCCTTCACAGAGATTTACCATTTTTAAAATTTTACCACATTTGCTTTAAAATTCCCTTGTTTCCTTAGTGTGTGTGTTTGTGTATGGCTCTATGTATTATAAACATGTATACATATGTGCTGCTCCACGACACTTGGGGTCAAAGGCTGCATACATGACAAGGGTCCCATAAGACTGTACTGAAGCTGAAAAATTCCTGTCGCCGAGTGTCACTGCAGCTGTCCTAACAGCGCAGGGCAATGAGTTACAATTGCCTATGTGCTCAGTACATGACATGCTGCACAGGTTTGCGGCCCAGAACAACGGACTCTATGCCACATCGCCCAGGGTGCAGCAGGCTGCACCTTCTGGTTTGTGCACGTGCACTCCACAGTGTTCCCACAGTTGTGAAACCGCCTAATGATGCGTTTCTCAGGATGTGTCCCCATCATGAAGTGGTGCGTGGCTGGATAGTTCTGTGTTCGTGTTAATTTATATGTATGTATGTATAATTTGCAAGTCATTTGACATTACAGACACAATGTATCTCCCCTAAACACTTCTGAGTACACTTCTTAGGAACAAGGACACTGTCTTCCCAAATGGTAATATAATTTTAAAAATTGGGAAATTAACATGAACATCTAAGTTAAAAATCAATCTTACTTTGAAATACTTCAGAGAAGGTTCAGATTATTTACAATAAATTAAAATCCACATATCATCCTATTAATTTCTTATCCAAATACTATGATGGTTAATGTTATGGTTTACCCATCAGTCTAAAATAATATGTTTAACAATTAGTTATGATCTGAACTACTTTCCAAATATTGGAAATAGTCTGCATCTGAAAAGACTAAATAAATCAGAGACTGTTAAAAATAAGCAGTTTTCTACGAACAAACACAGAAACCCTGCCAACGGTCCAGAAAAAACGTTCAGGGACCCGACTCACCACCGAGCACATCTGAAAGCCTTCCGGGCTTGAGTGCTACTAGGAATCAGGTATAATTAGCACATGTATCAGCTGAAAAGTGTTGCTTAGGAAATCTTGAAAATAATTTGTAGGCTCTTAAAATTAGGTAGGCTAAGGATTCACACAATGAAACATCTTAGTCAATTTTCCCTCTATTCCTCCTTCCCTTAGGTTACAGGCAACGTTAACAACACACCCAAGGTGAGCACAATACCTCTGCCAGTAAGAGCATAATTCACAAGGTCCCATATGTGGGTGTGCAAATACTGTGGCACATACATGTGCAAATGCTATCTCTGGAAACTTAGCTTAAAATTCATTTCCAAGCACAAAGCCTGAATTTGCCGCAAACCAAAGAGAACACTGGGTACTTAATTACAACTAGAGGAACTGACTATGTAAGTCTAACATGTTATTAATATACAACTGCAGAATACATTTTAATTCAAGAGATGTAATTTCACGAAAACTCTCAGCCTCACTGCCTTTTACTTTTCCATGTAAATGCAGAGGACACTCTGAACTGTAGGAACACGGTATCTATTCTTCATCTGATTACGCTTCTGATTTATGAGAGCACTGCCACGAGAAGGGACCTGAGGGATTCTTTCCTTACCATCGAGCACTTTTTAGAGGCTCGCATTACCCTTCCCATTTTCCTTTTCTTTGCCCCAATAACTCTATCCCCTGCAGCCTCGTCTCTGCCTCCTTGTCTTCTGTCATGAAGACGTGATCCTTATCAATAGACCTTTGTTTCTGTTGGCCATGCTGTTTGTGTTTTAATCTGCCATTACCTGTGCTCTGAGCATTAACAATGTAAACATTCAAGTCACTGCCAGAGTCTTGGAAAGCGAACACTTGCAGATAGCTATCAGGGGAGCACCAGGCCCACAGTTCTCTCCAGGGCAGCAGATTTCTGCCTGCCTGTGCGGTCACTCCCCCTGCTCCGGCAAAGGGAGCGGACAGCCCCCCAGGGAAGTCTGGCTCACCCCAGGGGCAAGTCGGAATCACCAGTGCTTTCCTAATAGCCTCTGTCATTACCAACCCCCTCTTTGATAAGTAGATGGATTGTAACAGCTTAAAATGACAAGACTGTTTTTATAAGGCTAGAAGATGGTTCATGATTGCAATAAGAATTGTTAACAGGAAATCTAATGAGAAATTTCCTGGTAACAAAGGAGGTTAAGACAGAATTTTTACATCCAGGCTATTGTGTTCAATGAGAAATAAAAAGACTATTTCTAAATTCCTTTTGTCTTTCCCAAATACAGTGTAAACCAGAGATCCCCCCAAAATGAGGTGAACATTTCAAGAAATGTTAAACTACTCCCTGGCAAGGAATTCAGCTCAGATTCATGTATCGCTTTATATCGCCAAGGGCATAGCACAGGTATCAGAGGGAAAGTCCTGGCACTCACCTTTGCAGTTGGGATGCTACCATATATTTGCTCTACCTGTGTTGTGGAGAACAGGAGATACATTTCACTGCTTAACTACCTGTCACCTATAGAGTTTACTTCATGATCAGCAATATCTAAGCTATGCCATAGCATTTAAAAAAATCCATAAACTTGGAATATATTTTTAATTGAGCAAAAAAAAGATTGATTTTAACTTTGTGGAAGTCCTATATCCTGTATTATATTTTGCCTTTATGTACATTGAAATTACCATATTTCAAAACAGAATCTTATTTCTGATACATTTGCTATAAAGTATATATGTAACATATATGAGTAATTTCACGTTATAATAAATCTGTAATGATGTGTAACAACCTACGAGGCAACGCCTAGTACCGAGGTTCTCAAGTATGGCC